TTCAGTCAGCCGACGGGATAGGATTTGCATGACTGCCTGATTCTATTCTCCAATGTGTTGTAAAGTATGCTCGATTATGCTTTATTTATTTACGTTCTAAGTATACATTGAAGCTAATGAAAGCTGCTATTGAAGGGAATGATTGTTGTGAGACTTCCATAATGGTTACACCTGCTCTTTGCTCAGAGTCACCCATATCACACTGTCATACCATTAATCAATAGAAACAAGGAGCAGTGTTAAAGCTATTCATCCCACAGTCTATTTAGTCGTAGCTTGTATATACTACAGTTAAAAATGGAAACTTGCTAAACAGTTGCTGTTCTTCTCAGACTCTCACAAATGACTGCATTTTAAAGTGATAATATGTAACATGGATATCTACACTGGAATTGGTGTGCATGGTGCACTATAAAGCTCATGGAACATCCCAGTTTATGGATCAAGTTACATGCTCTATTGTTATAACTAAATACAGTACTATTTTATTAAGGCCTGATGGAAAAAGCAAAATGCAGACTCTTTTACTAAATCCATCTTGGATTCAGTTGCAAAATTATATACAGATAATCCTAGTCTTACAACCATTCATTTAATGAGTGTCTGAAATTACAACGCCACTGAAAAAAGTGACTTACAACTGTTTTCACACTTAAGACAGTTGCAGCATCCCCACAGCCATGTGATCAAAATTCAGACATTTGGCAACTGACTCGTATTTACGATGGCTGCAGTGTCTTGGGGTCATGTGATCCCCTTTTGCAACTTTCCGACAAGCAAGGTCAATGGGGAAGCCAGATTCACTTAACAACCATGTTACTAACTTAAACAATTGCAGCGATTCATTAAACGACTATGGCAATAAAGGTCGTAAAACCGGGCAAAACTCACTTAACAACTGTCTTGCTTAGCAACACGAAATTTTGGGCTCAGTTGTGGTCATAAGTGGAGGACTACCTGTAAAGGGTAAAGCTGGAAAATGGGAACAAGCAAAATCACAGAATGTCAGGTGAGGAAAGAAGAAGCCAAAAAGGAAACAAGTCTCAGGAACTCTAGAAAGAAACTGAACACCAAGTGCATTACACACATACACACACACACACACACACACACACACACACACAGCGAGAGAGAGAGAGAGAGAGAGAGAGAGAGAGAGAGAGAGAGAGAGAGAGAGAGAGAGAGAGAGAGAGAGAGAGAGAGAGAGAGAGAGAAAGAGAGCCTCACTGAACAGATTCAAAATGCTTGCAGGAAGGGAAAGAAACGTCTGCTTGCAAATGGTTAACTAGACTGTCAAGTTACAGAAATTTTCCAATCCAGGAAGACCAAAGGTAAGCATGCTACTCTTCCTTGTCATCTCTAGAGACTCTCAGTGGGATTGGAGGTGGTAGGTTTTCAGCGTTCAGAAGAAGCTCTCCATGATGCCACCTTTGCTTTTACCCATGGAGGTCACACAAGGAAGGGAAGGCTAGCCTTCCTACTCTTGCTGCCGACGAATAGATTTGCATTATTTTCATTAAATCAAGTTAGGTCCGCTAAAGAATTCTCCAAGTTTTTCCGGTCATGCAAGCTACCTCTGTAAGCACTCTTCTCACCAACATCAAAATACTTTTTCAGCTCTTCTCTGTTTACCCATCAACAAATCCACCTGCAGCGCCTAATTTCTAGACGATTTCAGGGTGGACTGGAAATGACAGTGATTTTTGGCCTGTCTTTTCTCCTCTGACTACAATTCTAATTCTGCATGTCCTTCTTGCTACCGCTGCTTTATCAGCTACATAACAAAGTCCTCAAAATTGGGAGTGAGACCATTCTTATTATTACGTAGTACCAAACATGCCATAAAAAGCTGCTCTAAAATGAATTTTTAAACAAATGCAAGTTTAATATTCATAGCCTCTTACGGTTCCTCTTTTTCCTGGGCACTGTAAATTTAAAACATATACTCATATACAGGTCAGGATTCAACATCTCAAAGTCATTGTGCAAATGCCTATCTGGGCTTCTTCAGAGGAACTGCAGAATTAGAAAACATCAACAATTGAGAAATGTTGCTATCAAAAACGCAGCTACAGAAAGCACCAAGTGAATTGAGCAGGGCTCTTGTTATAATTTTAAACAATCTTTTCACCATAACAGAATAACAGAGTTGGGAGGGACCTTGGAGGTCTTCTAGTCAATCCCCCCCTCAAGCAGGAAACCCTTACCATTTCAGACAAATAGCTGTCCAATTTCTTTTTAACAACTTCCAGATTTGGAGCCCCAACAATTTATGGAGGCAAGTTGTTCCACTGATTAAGTGTTCTCATTGTCAGGAAATTTCTCCTTAGTTTTAGGTTGTAACAGATTTTACTGAACGAAATTGCTGCTGTTGCTGCTGATGACAATAAGAAGACACGTCAGAAATTTGAGTATTTTTGCACTTGGCTATTAAGAAAAAAGATTTCTTACTTTTCTTCCAGAATAAAACGAGCATTCCAAAATTAGTATTAAGAATGGTGTGGAAAAACTTGTTTGAGCCCTTATACAAAAACCATACAGATGTTAGCAGTAGCAATAGCTCTTACATTTCTATAATGCTTAATCGTGCTTTACAGCACTCTCTAAGACAGTGGTTCTCAACCTTTCTAATGCCGCGACCCCATAATACAGTTCTCCATGTTGTGGTGACCCCCAACCACTTATGCATCACTGGGTGCCAGGGGCGTGGCCAAAGAAAAGGGGGAAAAAATGGCAGACAGCCTTGTTTGGCGACCCCCGTGAAATGGTCGTTCGACCTCAAATGGGGTCCCGACCCACAGGTTGAGAACCACTGCTCTAAGAGGTTTACAGAGTCAACATATTGCTGCCAACAATCTGAGCCCTCATTTTACCAACCTAGGAAGGAGGGAAGACTGATTCAACCTTGAGCCAGTCAGTTTCGAACTCCTGTCTGTGGGTAGAGTTAGCCTGCAATACTGTATTCTAAGCACTGCGCCACTATGGCTCCCTATTAATTCCCTATTATGACACCACCAGACCAGCAAGAGAAAAAAAAACAAAACACCACCACCACTGGAATCATGAAATCAGAACAGTTGAATAATCCAGAGTAGGAAAGTTGGAGAGGGAAACTCTAAAGAAAGACAGTCTATGTGTGGGCTTCTGGGAAGGGGGGGAGGGAGAGACACAGAGGAGATTAAATATTAATTCCTCTTGGCAAAGAAAAAAATGGTCCATTGTTTCTTAAACCATCAACCTTCCCCAAAATTTTCTCCCCCCTCCCCACCCGAGAATCGAATTTTCCCAAATTCTTTAAAAAACAGGCACATACACACAAGCTTTCATTTTCAGAAAGCAGTGCTGGAGACCGAAAGAGAGCGATTCAGAGAATTACATCAATCATTAAACAGTTAAATGAAGTTAGGATGACAGTTGCTATTGTTGTCTCTAAGCACTCTTGGCTTTTCCAAAGCAGCTGCCAGATCCTATTAGATGTATAAAAAGAGGATGCTTTAGACCAAAGCGAACTGGGATATTCTATTGAAAAGTAGAGACAATAGCTGATTTCTATAAACTACTCAAGTCCTGTAGAACATCTGTCTTTGACCTAATGTTTCTTTCACCGAATATTAGATTTAGTATTTGAATGCAATTTATTCTCTGGCCTGGAATTGCCACATGAGGCCCAAAGCAATGAGATGCAACCCGCTGCCAAGGCCTCCTGCATCAGCACCATTTTAATTAGAACTCAAACAAACAAACAACAAAGCTTTTCTTGGATTTTATAAAACTCATACGGCATGTCTTTGTAAGAGATCTTTAGGTGCCTCAAGCCCAGAGAGACGACAGTCCTACAGTATAAGCGCCTTGGGCAAGGGACCTGCCCAAGGTCTTGTAGTCCATAAGAATACAAACTCAGAGAATCATATTAAGGATTGTTTCAACTCTAGGGACAAGATAGAAGTTCAAATGCATGAGTTCACACGTCAGGCTAAGTCATGAGTAGGCTGAAAACACCTCAATCGGTTAGGTTTTTCATGTTGGGAAGATGTAGCATGTTAAGCTAAAATAGAGCAAGCCACATTTTGGGTTAGCATTTTATGTAAATGCAATCATTTTGCATGAGATATGTAGGCATAAAGACTGAACTATGCTAAGCCATAATGTAAATGGCTTTATTTTTTTCTGTATAAATCCAGCCAACCATGGCTCATTTAGATAAACAATAGTTAAACAGTGTCTTTAGGCTCTGATCAAACTTAGACTCATAATGTGGGAAGAATTACGGGGAGATTGGATGGGTATACACAACCATTAAATCTTTAGCATAAATCGCACAAATGTTGGGTACCCACTACACATTCTGCCTAAATAACACAACTTATTAGAACTTAATATCATAGTCTCAAAACATTTTTAGACCACTCAATCCCATTTGAGCTTAGCATAGTGTATGTATGTAGAATTACCCTGTAGTAAGATAGCCAGCCAATAAATTTGATAAACAAATAAAAATGTATGAATCTAGCTGCTCTCCTTCCCAGGATAGGATAAAAACCACTGCTCTGTTTCATCTCCACCTACAATCATGAAATAGAGGAACTTAATTTAGCGAAAGTGGAGATTATGGAACGGGCTTACAGATGATCCATCCCCTTAACAATTCTGGGACATAATGAAGAGGACCAGATAAATAGAAATGGTGTCCTTGATCTTTATCAGGAAGTAAATTTATTCTTAATGTAATCTTTAAGATTATTCACTGCCCATAGTCAGTTGCTGAGATAGGCAGCCATACAAATCGAATGAATGAACAAGCAAACAAATAAATCACCCAATCCAAGCAAGTTTTCAAAATGTTTGCTTCATATTCTAAGTGAGGACCAGAAATTCTTCTTTCAGATGTTATAGCCATACTTAAGGCTGTAACCTAGAGCTTGTTTCCTCTTTCCTTGATGCTTTATTAATTCATATCCAGATTGGTTGTTAACACAATTAAAAAGAAAAGTTCCACTTACCCATAGGGTCTCTGAATAAGAGCTGGATGTAACTGCTGCGCCCCTAAGGTAAAACCTAGGGGAAAATGATTGAAGCAAAGTTAAACTAAATCATGCAACTTGGTTGCTTCTTCAACAGTGCAACTATAAGATCTTATCGCTTTCACTTGTTCAACTGTTAGTATCCACTAAGCTATTTTGGGCTATGCGAAAAGATGTATAATAATACTGCATGTCTTCCCTTTCTTTAAAACTTTCCATTCTCTCTTACACAATATGACTTGAGGGCAATAATGGTACTGCAGTTGATCAATCCTCCCCAAATGTCTATATTGGTGCTCACATTTGCAACTTTTATTGTGGTGACATAGTGGTTAGAATGCAATACTGCAGGCTAACTCACTGCTCACTCCAGGAGTTTGATTCTGAGCAGCTCAAAACTGACTCAGTCTTCCATCCTTCCGAGGTCGGTAAAATGAGGACTTAGATTGTTGAGGGCCATATGCTGACTCTGTAAACCGCTTAGAGAGGGCTGTAATGCACTGTGAAGGGGTATATAAGCCTGCTATTGCTTTTGCCTCCAGTTTATTTGCTTATTTAGATTATGATTAAATTCAATTCTCTTAATGTTCATCCTGAAATAGTATTACATTTATATCTTTATTTCCTTTTGGTACACTTTCTGGAAGCAGAGTAATAAATATTTAAAAATAACTTCAGTATAAAATATTGAAGTGTTTTAACTCAAAATAGGGTCTCCTTAATCTTCTCTATTTTTGGCAAAGAAAGTTTTTTTAAAAAAATCATCCCCGGCTGAAGTAGTATATATTGTGGAAGATGCACTTAAATCACATCCTAGGCTTTATTAGTCTCAATTTTGATTAGGTTATCCTTAATTATTTACCATATTGTGAACTCCATCCACTGAGTTAACTCATACTTCTATAAACTATGCACATCAACAAAAATAGTTTAATTCAATAATCAGGTTTAGTATGTTTTGTATTTTGTGAACTTAACTAATGTGTATCGTGAGAAGAGCTGGTTAGATTTTGTAGAAAAATCCATGTATTGCAGAAAATCATATTCAAAATCTGCCTAATGTTATTTTTTGTAAGTTTTTTAAAAAGATGATTAAAGAAAAAAATGTACAGAACAGAGTATTATGCAGATAAACAACTCTTTGGTAGACAAATGCAGCACTGACATGAACCTGATTTATACAAATCCACTCCTACCTAATTGGAAAATATTTGGCTGTAGTTTTTCAACTCTATATAAATTGAAATCATGTCCATATTTGTGCAGCAATTTCTGTTTTTACAATGCATTTATTTTCAGTGCATCTTCAAAATTGCAGATATATATTCATGCCGCAGTATGTTTGAATATATTTTCTATTTGTTTTATTTTTTAAAAAAATTAAGCTCTTCAGCTTGCATCTTTGTAGTTTCTATTTCATGTCTTACGCAGTTCTAGAAACTGAGGAAACAGAATGTAAATTGAAGTGCAGGGCTCAAGATTTCTGTTGCTGATTCCCATCTGCACCCATGAAATTCTATCGTTTCCCCTCATTTTGGCATTATTTGTGAAATTTTCAGCAATCCTCTTGTTTTCAGGAACTGCACAATTTAGCATTCTACATAGGAGGGAACTTTTTATTAACGAGGCAGTAATACAGCTGCATATACCCTATGGGACACAAAAACAGAGTTGGATGGGAATGGGATATTGAATCCACAAAATTCCACCCTCAGCTTCATGCAAGAATCCAAATTAAAGTCTCCTTCATGATCACATCAAGAAAGAGAAAGTCAGCACCGCTCCAATGCACTTTCTTCAAGGAAGATATTTCTAACCTTCAGTTGAAACCTCTGAAATTTAAATCTATTATTTTGTGTCCTGCATTCGAAACAACAAAAAACAGGTTCTGATGTTCTTCTATCTCACATCCATTGAAGCATTTGAAGAACGCATTATATCCCCCTTCACTCTTGAGGTTAACCATACCCAGTTCCTTCAATCCCATGGGTTCTCATCTTAATGTTCCTAGGCCAGTGATGGTGAATCTGTGACACATGTGTCAAAAGTGATATGCCATGCTGTTTTGGGCGACACACCAGCATTCCCCAACACCCAACAATTATTTTCAGAAGCATGCCTTGTTCTCAATACAACCTTTCGAGGCTGCAGAGGCCACTTGAGAATGGGGTATACTTTTGCATGGTCAGTGGTGTTTCCAAAAATGAGTTTATTTTAACTTGTATTTTATTTTTGTAATTACTTGACATTTCTTTATACAGTACATAGCACCATGTATGATTGGACTGTATTTTTTAAATAAATGAACATACAAAGAATTGTTTCTATTTTGTTCAAGGGGAGAGGGGGTGATACGCCAGCAGCCAAAATAGGTATTTTCTGAATTTTTGACCAGAGCCCAAATAAGCTCCTACCTTTCAAGGGGCATTCCAAGAAATTAAAATAGTAGCTTGGTTGCAGCCCAACACTGTGCTTGGAAGTGTGTTCATCTACTGGTGAGGGAAAAGTCAAAGATTGTTTTAATTTTAAGAAATTAAGTGAGAAGCTGACATGCATCAAAGCAAAGTGCCAAGTCAAGCATTATCATTTTTTTCCAGCAATGTTTCTGGCTCGCAATCTTTCTTGGAAAATAAATTAAAAGGACACCTGTTTGGAAGTGTGCCTGCTCTCCCCACTAGGAGAAAGAAGACAGAAGAGGAAGTGGTGCAGAGGATTCTGGGAAATTACCTAACTTGATGGGAAGCAATCCAGACAGTTTGCCTTCCAAGGAATGAGTGACAGGCGATTGGTTTCACTCACCGTGGCAGCCATTTTGTGAAAGTGCTTGTGACATGCTCTCACCAGTTTCAATTTGCACACTAACTCTGCAAGTTGTGAAAAATCAATTATTTTAAAATATGTATCCCCATGGAATTTTGTGGGGTTTTTTAATTTCTCTTGAACAGCAGATGAAGGATGGGCAAAACATTGCAAACTGAACTGTCCCAAATTGAGCACAAAGCAACCTTTTCAAGTATTTTGGAAACATTTGAGTTTGCCACTGAGAGTTTCGCGCTCAGAACAATTGATCTTGACGCATGTTGTGTATTCTTAAAAAGAGAGAGATTATTTAAAATTGAAATGTTTGTCTACCCCTGGCCTATACCTAGCAAGAACACTATATCTAAAGGCAAACCTTTTAAAGCATCAAATTGATGAGCTCATGGGGATGGTGAACAAATTAAAATTCCTGCTTTGCTTTGAATGTGCCTATTTTGGATGGCATGACCAATTACGATTTAGGAAAACAAAACGAAGCAAAAAAGTATAAAGCTGGGATAAAAATGAAAAAGGGGAACATTCCCATCCCCGTTTGACGCTGGTCAGCTGCAACAAAAGCTTGATCAGCTTTTATATTTAAGTATAAATTCCAGGCATTGTTTTGTGTTTTGTTCTTTATTCCTCATCATGATTTTAGTCAACTGAGCTTTCATTTTAAAGCCTGTTAGTAAAACAGAGAAAAAGCTACATACTAAATTACCAGCCTTAATCATTCCTGTCCTATGTCCGTTAAGCTTTGTGCCAGGCTCAACTATAAAATTCAGATCTCCAGATAGGTAACCCCTTATTCAGGAAACAGCTTACTCAGGAGAAAGTATTAAGACATGATTTGGATGAATGAGCTTCTTTTTTTTCAATAAGAACAAAGTCACATATAAACAAAAGATAAGTCCACTTCAAAACTCAGAAGTCAATAAATATGTATAAATCTTATGCTTCAGGATTTAAATTCCAGGCTTTTGACCCTGAACTTTCTGATTCAAAAGATGCTGGCTGTTCTCTTGATGGCCTGGAAGGCTCCTGATCTGATGTTATCATCTGAGAAATGTTTCTTAAGCTGTACCAGCTTCATTCCTTACAGCAGGCAACTTTCCCTACTATCAGTAAGGACAGTGCATGTCAATTTTGCTAAGTATTTTATTTAAACTTAATTTCTATAGCTGCCCAACTCAACCCAGTGACTCTGGATGGTGAACAAGTGCTTGTTGCACAAGTGAAAACAATGCTCATTTATCCCAAGCACGCACATACTAATCTATGCAAGCTAGAATTTCTCACTTACAGGCCACCTTATGAGCGAACATATTGTTGCACATGTCCCAGGCAGGAAATGCAAAAAATAATGCATAAGAATCCAATTGCAAAACAATGTATGAAAAATTAATGAGTCAAGATGAAAGGGAAGATAGAGGAAGTTATATGATGGGATAGAGCTGATGAGATCCTCAAAAAGATAGCAGGATGATGTTTGAGGTACAAAAGTGAATGTTTAAATGAATATACAGGTGTGATGGGTATAAGGCTGGCTTGCAAGAATAGAAAAATATAAAGGTATAATTTGGATTTAGTTATTTTTTCTTTTATTTCTGTCTTTAATTTTGTTGTTTATTACTTTTTACTCTTTTTTCTATGCATGGAATAATGTTACCTATCCCAGAAGGAACAATAGGTATGTATGTACATATGGAGATCCAACTACTTTGGATTACTTAAACCATGGCTTAGGACAGTGTATAAACCCAGTCAGTAATGCACAAACTAAACCAAGATTATTAACCATGTTTACTGAACAACCCACAGTGGTCTGCTTGATATTTTTCAATTATATTTTGTTTTGCAAAGCATGGTTGTAGATAAAGATTGCATTTTGAATCCTCTTGTACATCACTTTGAAACTTCTTACATGGAATGGCAGGTTATAAATATTTGAATAAATCCATAAAGTTAGGCCAGAAAACAGGGAAATCCCATAATGATTTAGTGCAATGGGCCCCAACCTTTTTTAGCACCAAGGACCAGTTTTGTGAAAGACAATTTTTCCATGAGGGGGTGGGGGTGGGAAGAAAGAATGTGGAACCTGGATCCCTCATATGTGCAGTTTACAGTAGGGCTTGCTCTCCTATGAGAATCTAATGTCTGATGATCTGAAGTGGAAGCGAGGTGGTGATGCTAGCCCTGGGGAACGGCAGCAAATGCAGATGAAGCCTCGCTTGCCTGCCGCCCACCTCCACCTGTGTGGCCCAATTCCTAACAGGCCATGGACAAGTACCGGTCCATGGCCCAGGACTTGGGGACCCCTGACTTAGCCCAAAGTTTCCCAACCTTAGCACTTTTAAGCTGTATTGAATGTATACTGGTGGGAAATTCTAAGAGCTGAAGGCCATATGGCTTAAGGCTGCTGGGGTTGAGAAACAGTGGCTTAGTGCAATGTCCGAACCTAATCTGTAGCTATTTATTGGGGCTTCTGCTGCAGTGCACTGCATAATAGCACCTCCACTGATAGCCAGGAGACTGTTCATGGCTTTGGATACTCTAAGCTTAGCAGTAGAAAACAGGAAGAAAAGACTGCAGGATTTACTTGAATGCTGCATAAAGCATGAAAGTGGAATAATCACTTAGAGCTGTATATTGGAACTGGATTATCCCTACTGAAGTCCATATAAAACAGTGTTTCTCAATCTTGGCAGCTTTAAGTTAGGGAATTCTGGGAGTTGAAGTTCACCCATCTTAAAGCTGTCAAGGTTGAGAAGCACCGGCATGGAACAGGAAATAATTTAAGTGAAGGAAGTAGGAGGAGCAGACGGTAAGAGAAGAGCTATTGGTCTCACCAGTTTGAATACTCCTTGGCTTTGCTCCCAGATACGCTAGGTTGACATTTGCTTTCCGCCCATCAATGATGGGATTGGGATCTTTACAGGCTCTTTCAGCTGCTGCTCTGTCAGTCATGGTGACCTGGAAAGAAGCAGACAATTTCCCTTTGTAGAAATACAGATCAAGCACAGATTTTGTTTTAGAAATGTGTAGCACGACTTCACTCCAAATGGATCCGACAGGGATGTTTGTAACAATTAAAAACAAGATGTAAGAAAAACAACCTTAAAATTAAAGCATAATCAGGAACATTAAAATTACATGCATTGTCTTAAAAATTGGTTTTACATTACATAAATGTAAAATTTACATTTTTTTCCACATACACTGTCAGCATGGCATTACTGTTTCTCCCATCAAATAAGATCAAAACAGAGAGTCCACAGGAGGAGTATGTGTGTATGTTGGGTGAGTATTCTTGCAAACTATATACTCATATATAATAAAAGAAAATCAAAGCCAAGGTGATGGGTGATCAAAGCCCTGCCCATTTTTGTACCTACCACCTTGATTTTTTCAGATCTCCCCAGATCAAACTTATCTGTTCACTGTAGTGTTGTGGCAATGAGTCAATTTCAAAAACCATGCAAAGATCAAAGACAGTCAACAGAGCAGTCCATTAATCAATCAATCAGAATGGAGTTGGAAGGGACCTTGGAGGTCTTCTAGTCCAGCCCACTGCTCAAGCAGGAGTCCATATATATATATATATATATATATATATATATATATATATATATATATATATATATATATATCATTTCAAATAAGTGGCTGTCCAGTCTCTTCTTAAAAACCTCGAGTGATGGAGCACCTACATCGTCAGAAGGCAAGCTGTTCCACTGTTTAATTGTTCTCAGTGTTAGGAAGTTTCTCCTTAATTCCAGGTTACTTCTCTCCTTGATTTAGTTTCCAACCATTGTTTCTTGTCCTGCCCTTTGATTCTTTAGTGAATAATGTGACCCCCTCTTCTTTGTGGCAGCCCCTCAAATACTGGAATACTGCTATCATGTCTCTCCTATTTCTTCTTTTCTTTAGACTAACCAAACCCAAGTCCCGCAGCTGTTCTTCATATGTTTTAGTCTCTAGGCCAGTGGTTCTCAACCTGTGGGTCGGGACCCCATTTGGGGTCGAACGACCATTTCACGGGGGTCGCCAAACAACACAGTCCACCATTTTTCCCCCCTTTTCCTTAGCTGTGCTACTCCCTTTTATTCTATTGGCTTTTGAAAGCCAATAGAATAGACTTCTTGAATAGAGTCTAATTCTATTGGCTTTCAAAAGCCAATAGGAATTGTCCAGGCTGTCTCTGCCCTGCTGAGCCCGCCAAAAGTCCCATTCTGCAAATGGTGCTGCACCAGTTGAGTAGTCCTCGACTTACGACCGGTTGAGTAGTTCTCAACTTACGACCGGTTGGGGATCACGGCATTAAAAAGGTTGAGAACCACTGCTCTAGGCCTTTGATCATCTTTGTTGCTCTTCTCTGAATTTTTTCCAAACTCTCAACATCTTTTTTGTGATGTGACCAAAATTGGCTGCAGTATTACAGGTGCGGTTTTACTAGGGTTTTATAAAGCGGTACTAATACCTCACGTGAGCTTGATTCTATGCCTCTGTTTATACAACCCAGGATTGTATTAGCTTTTGTGGCTGCTGCTGTACACTGTTGACTCATGTTTAAGTGATCATCCACTAGGACTCCAAGGTCCTCTCACAGTTACTGTTTTTGAGCCAGGTTTCACCTAATCTGTACTTGTATCTTTGGTTTTTTTCTGCCCAAGTGCAAAACCTTACTTTTCTCCACATTAAATATAATTTTGTTAAATAGGGCCCATTGTTCAAATCTGTCAAGAACTTTTTGGATTATGAGCTTGTCTTCTGGGGTGTTGGCTATTCCTGCCAGCTTAGTGTTATCTGCAAATCTGATAAGATCGCCTTCTATTCCCTCATGAAGATATTGAAGAGTACTGGGCCTTCGATGGAACCATATGGTACCCCACTGCTTACTTCCCCCCATTAGATGTAGTACCATTAAGGAATACTCATTGAGTATGGTTTGTAAGCCATTTACAAATCCATCTAATGGTGATGCTGTCTATTCCACATTTTTCTAGCTTACCAAGAAGTAGGTTGTGGTCTACTCTGTCAAATGCCTTGCTGAAGTTTAAATATACTATGTCCAAAGCATTTCGTGGACATTTAGTCACTTTGTCAAAGAATGAAATAAGATTGGTTTGGCATGATCTGTTTTCAACAAACCTGTGCTGGCTATTAGTTATAACTTTATTTGTTTCTAGATGTTCATAGATCTGTTTTTTGATTATTTTTTCCAGTATCTGATGTCAGGCTGATTGTTCTGTAGTTTCCTGGGTCTGTTTTTCCCCCCTTTTTTGAAGATGGGAACCACATCAGCTCTTTTCCAATCCTCTGGTAGTTCCCTAGTGCTCCAAGATTTTTTAAAGATATGATACAATGGTTCTGAGATAATATCGCCAGCTCTTTCAGAACTCTGGGATGTAATCCATCAGGTCCAGGTGATTTATATTCATCAATGTCAAACAGCTGTCATTTTGACAGAGTACAGTACTGTAATCAGACAGGTCTTCATATACCCATCACAGTTTGTTTTTTAAATTATCTTAACCTGATTATCCCCCATGCATGTAAATATCAGCTTGGTTTGGACACTGTTTACCAGTAATCATCTAATATAGATCAGGGTTTTTTAATTCAGTAGGTATGACCTTCAGGAAAGTGAAAGCTTTTTCAATTTTTAATTACTCACAATATCATTTTGTAGCTTGAAAACCTATTCACGCTTTTGGGCTTCAGGTATTTTTCAACTTAGAACTGGTCACTTCATGACTGTTCAAAGTTTACAATGGACCCTCCCCAAAGCTATTTATGACCTGTTTTTGAGGTTATAATGGATGCACCCCTTGTGATTTGGGTGCTTAGTAATCAGCTCACCTTTATGGCCATTTGCAATCCTGCGGTCATATGACCATGATTTATGACTTTTGGGGTGGCTGATTTTGGGCATTTATTTCTGGTTTCCAACAAAAATCGCCCATTATGTAAAACTGAATCACTTAATGACTATGGCATTTGCTTAATCACCACAAAAATGTCAAAAAATTGGATCCATTCATGTGATGTTTTGACTTTTGACAACAATGACTTACGCCAGTAATTCCGGGCTCAGTTATGGTCCTAAGCTGGGGACTACCTTTATCATGGTTTGCCCAATGTAATTTATTACCCAGCTCAAAATTATTTTCAAATCTTCAACTGTGGTGGCTAAACTATGATTTATTAAAACAGTACAAATATGTCTTAAAAGCTTATTTTGAGCCTGATTTGGCTGATCTGAAGAAGTAAAATAGAGTGAAACCTGATTGGTACCTTGTGACATTAGTCAATGTTTCAATCCAGTTTGATGAGGAACCATTCATGAGTTCTCTCTGATGCTTTTAAAGGCAAGTATGCATCTATTTATTTGTTAAGCCCTTCGGCCCACACTTTAACTGGCTTGCTAATCAGAATGTCATGGGTTACTTTGTCAAATAGTCTGTGGAAATCAAGATATACTATGTCTATAAGATTATTATAATATACTAAATAAAGATTCCGATGAAGCAAATAAGGGAAGTCTAATCTGCTAAATTTTGTTTTTGAGAAATCCAAGTAAAATTTGAATAAATTAGAAGGTAAAACCATATGGTCTGCTCCTAGAACTGAAATTAAAAAAAAGGACATTTAAAGCACAATACCTAGGCTGGGCTCCCATATTGCTCTAATATGTGTATCATTGATCTGAGCTAAGCACAATGGATCACTTAACCATTACATTTATAAACCATGATTTATGACTAGTCCTGCACAAACAAGACATAAGCTGTTGCTGAAATGCCAATTATATCAATAAGACATTAATGGTTAGAAAAGCCATGGTGGTGTACTGGTTAGAATGCAGTCCTAAAGGCTGACTCTGCTCTCTGCCAGACTTCGATCCTGATTGGCTCAAGGTTGACTCCGCCTTCCATCCTTCCAAGGTAGGTAAAATGAGGACCCAGGTTGTTGGGGGCAATATGCTGTCTCTGTAAATTGCTTAGAGAGGGCTGTAAAGCACTGTGAAATGGTATATAAGTCTACATGCTATTGCTATTTAGGTATGACAGCCAATTTGGCATAATAGTTAAGGCACCAAGTTAGAAACCAGGAGACTGTGAGTTCTAGTCCCACCTTAGGGACAAAGCTAGTCCCCCTCTCTCAGCCTTAGAAAGAAGATAGTGAGGGAAAATCACTTCTAAAATCTTGCCAAGAATAGTAGTCCCGGAAGTCACAAAGAGTCAGCACAGACTCAGAACACACAGCCCTCCCCTACTGTAGTAGATTAAGTATCCTCCAATGGGTAGGTTTGAAGAACACCAAATTGCTTCATTGTTTATTTTAAACTACAAGTTCCCCAATAAAGTGAAACTTTATTCGTTGGACCTTTACAGTTGCATGGGGTGAGGTAAGAGTTCATTTGTTGGTCAGGAAACTGAGCCTCACCTGTTGCTCTTAACAATAGATTTCCTCTTCACAATCTTTTTTTGTCAGGAGTTTTAAGAAAACAATCAAAACAAGGGGAAGGGATGAACTGTACAAAAAGCCTTTAGCTACAATCCCCAGCATCTTTAAGAAGGCGTGTGGGGATAACGTTCCTTTCTGAATGCCTAGCAAACTGGCGCTCTCTGCAGAACACACTCAAATCGAATCAGTTGCAGGATGAGTCACACAATCACTGAACCTCAGTCAGCGGTGGGGCCGGAGAGAGTTTATTTTAATCCTCAACAGTTTGTCAGGGTTAAGCTACATTCATTTGATTAGTTACACTGTATGAACAGTATTGCTTGATCAAAAATAGGCTACTTTCCAAGCCTTATCGAGGCATTCCTCTAAGACAGCATGCTAGCTGGGGGAATTCTGGGAGTTGAAGTCCACGCATCTTAAAGTTGCCAAGGCTGAGAAACACTATGATAAGGAAAAGAGTTGGCAATACGTACTGGCTGAACACAAAGAAGCTTTTATGTTACTGAACTTTCTGTCAAGACCAGAGAACAGCCAAGGGTCACCTCTCTCAAGCACTGATTGACTCAGTGATCATGGTCAAGCCATGCCTATTGAGAAGAGGTGTTTGATGATGAGTAATAAAATTTTGCCAATAATGAACAAGCACAACATTGGATAGGTTAGCAGGCATTTCCTGAAGAAAACAGATGAGAGCTCTGTAGTCCCACAATGTCAACTGTTGACCCAGTTATTGGGACTATAAGCTAGGACATTTGACCAGGTTACATACTATGTTGGATAAGGTCAACAGAGAAAATATAGAATAACATGGAACAGTAATCAATAAGGATGGTGCAGTGTGCTCCACCTTCCTAATTCAGCATGCTTTCTTGAATAAGGCTCATCCATAGTAACTGCATCTTCTTTCCAGTAATAACAGCTCTCTAAGAAGCCCAACAGCAGCAGCCAAGGCTACAGTCTGTCTCCTGCTGCACGTTCCAAACAACTCATACCTACAGGTGTGCTATTTCTGAACCTGGGATAATACATCATCATAATTTGTACCCTCCTCATGCATGAAAGAACCAGTATCTTGTCCTTTGACACTGATGACTGTCTGAGAGCATTTGCTATATAAAAAGATTCCAGGACAGTCACAATGCAGCATAGTGGGGCACATTCTTTGCAAGTGCTGCTCGCAAAACATTTCTGTTCTAGCCTAGGATATTCCATGGAATCACACATTTCATGCCTTCCTGCTTTTGAGTTTTCCCCAGAAACTCAGCCAACACTCTGCACATTTAGCATCACTGAAAGATCTCTTATCAAGATCCATGTTCTGGAGAATTTCATTCTTGTTTTCCACATTCTGGTAAGTCTGTCAATAAGACATTCTTTAGCTTGGCCTTTGGCTACAATACTCACAATAAAGGTAAGTTTGGTCACTGCTAATAATTATATGGAAATATAATGACAGCAGCATCATATAAGTTCTGATGTTTTGGGTGTTATTATGTCAAGGAAGGTAAAGTTATAGACTTACATCTGATCAAGGAAGAAGGGGTGAACTTTGTGGCCATTTCTATAGGCAAATTTGGAAGTTTGAGAGAATGTCACAGGTGTGCTCACAAAATGGCTGTTGCAGGGGGGCTGCCTGTTTAAAACATGTCCACTATCAAGGTGGACATGTCCAGTCACAAAACACTGATTTACCAAGAAAGTAAACTGCCAAAGTTACTTCCTGCCATTCTCTTCACTAGCTAATCTTACCTTGATCTTTTTGCCTTTGCTAGGCAAAAAGATCAAAGTAAGATTAGAGAGTAAGGCGAGTTTGCTAGATGGCACCCTTCCAAAGAAATCACAGGGCAAAGAAAACCTAACTTTTAAAAAAAATTCTAGGAATGCTTAGGAGAAGTCCAAAAGCATTCTTGTAAATAAAGATAATATTAGAGGCCAATGCTGTAATATGGCTCCTTTTCATTCAGTTTCTCTGTATAGTTAAACCCAATTAACAGATTTCATACTACTACCCTGGATTGGATCAAAAGCAAGTGACAGCATTTGTGTTGGCTGTCTGCAATTGTTTTACCTAGTCTAGTGCACTTAAGGGAAAAAGAGCTTAAACATGTTTTACATGTGTTTGTGCCTATTGGTGATGCATTTTAATTTGCAAATTGATTTTAGGATATCTCAGTGCTTCCTTAGCCATGGTTTAATTATCAAAAAATAGTCAACAATTGTCATTGTTACTGTTTCTTTGGAATTAAACTGAAGTATGGTATATGTTCCTTCCTCTCAAACAAACTTTTGTTACTGGCTGTTTATGGTTTCCTACACTTCCTCCTCTAATAATCAGTTTTAGCATCTTCCTCCCTTCAGATGGTTGACTATTTTTGTTTCCTTCTTCCCAGAGAGAAAGAGAGAGAAACTTTCAGCAGAAACCTTTGTTCTAATACTCAGTGCCTATTAAGTGTCCATTTTTCTTATTATCCAGCTAGGTGAGAATGAATATCTGACTATTTTGGCCAATCTCAAAAAGAGAGTCAGATAGTATTTGCGTGGGAGACTGTTAGATTCTTCGAGAAGGTGAAAATAGCAATATGCCTGTAGCCCCCAAAGGAAGTTTATTCAATAAGACTTTCCTGTACTTACTTATATACTTGAAAGGATAGACATATCTCTTTCCCCAAATTAACATCTCATGGCATATAGTTTCTCCCTCACCATCATGTCTAAGTGCCTTCCTGATATTAATTCCTTGGCAGCTCAATAATGTAGAGATAGAACAGTAATAAATAAGGAGTTCCTGTCCAATCTCTCCACCATTTTGAATGATCCGGAACTCATTTTGGAGACACTTATTTCCTATCCTGTAATTTTTTGAAACAGTAGTGGAAAATGGTTAGGAGCAACTAGAGGCAAGGAACCTATCTTCAGTACTGTATTGTACCCACAAAATCTTCATGGCTTAGAATTGTGGGATATGAAAGAATGACATCATCAACGTATAGAAAATTGGAATATAATTGCATCAAGGAAGATATAAAGTCATCCCATCTCACAAAACCATGTCTTTCAATTGTTCAGGGATCAGGGAAAGCAACCACCAATTTACAGTTGCATCTTTTTTTTTCAAGCGAAAGAATGTACCAATTTTCAAGAGAATATCACCACAAAGAATCCACATTTGGTGTTATCCCATCTCTTTGTCCATTTTTGAGGCCCGTCGATCCATCATCCTGCCATTCTGCAAAATGAGTTTAGCTGCTAACTTGGAAGTATTAGAAGGAATTTCTTCATAAGACCTTATTTCAAAAGACAACTTCCCCACAGAGGGTAGAAAGTGCTCCTCAGGCTGCATATTCAGATTTTAGATGATACAGCAATGAGCCAAATATTTCTAATTATTCAGAAACTTGCTAGCCCAGCAAACTGCCCCAACACTGTCTTCAAGTCTCCTATTATTATGGACCATAATTCTGATTTACAATCTCCAAAGAATTTTCAAGAACAGCAATAGTTGAATCTAACTATTCACTTTCTATTCTGTTTAAAATACAGTCAACTATCTTCACCAATTCTCTTCTCCACCCCACCCATCATCAATGATTCATCCTGCCTCTGTTCTGCCAACCACAAGCACGTTTGAAACTCAGTCCCTAGAGACTCATCTCAATCCGTTTCAGAAAACTTGAAAAGGACGGTTGCTGCTATTGGGGATGCTTAATGCACGATGTATTCTTTCTCATGTTTTACTACGGTCCATTCCTCATTCCCCAGTTTCTTCCCACCTGCTTCAAGTCCAGAACAAGAAACACAACTCAATCAGGGGCCATACAAATGAACTGGAGAGTGTCTGTTCAGACAATATATTTAATCCAAGTACAGATTTCATTCACTGTCTGCATTCATTTAACACCTTAGATGTTATATCTAGTTATAGTGGGTGGGTTCGCAAAAGGAAGCCACAAATAAACACACAACTAAGCTACAGCAAAACAGATTAAAGTTAGCAATAATTGGGCTGAAAATGTGGTCCAGTTAAACGAGCTGTGAGAAAGCAGCTAAGGGTCTCTTGAACAAGCCTGTCACAATGAAAATGCTGTTTGCTTCAAATCCAGGATGGAGGAAAGAGAGTGAGAAGAAAGAGAGTGAGCCAAGTTGGGGTGAAGAAGTAAGAAAGCAGTTGCTTAAAGCCAGAGGGGAATTGAAGAGGAGATTCAGATCCTCTTCCAATCCTTCAATTGTTCCTCTCCCCCCCACCCCAAAAAAAAGGCCAGGTGGTACAGAAATGCAAAAGGGAGCGAACCTGATATGCAGCTGGGGATTATAGGTTATAGCCCAAATCATCCTACAGGACCCGGCCGGGAAAGGCGGCTCAGTAATGTCGCCACAGGCTTTACCGGACCCTTTGTTAGAAGTGTCCGGCGATTACGGGGCCAGTCCGACAGTTTCGGGACAGACTCCTCGCGAACGATCCCAGTCCACCCTCCGCCCTCGCGCACTTACAAAGCCATATCCTCGGGATTTGCCCGTCTGCCGGTCCGTGATGACCACGGCTTCCTCGATGTCCCCAAACACCTCGAAGTACTTCCTCAGCGACGAGTCCGTGGTGTGGTAGGGCAGCCCCCCGACGAAGATCTTGGTGAAGGTGGTGTCCTTTTGCACCGTGTGCATGGCGCTGCCTCTGGCGGAGCAAGCCCGGCGGCGGGGGCAACGGAGGCTGTTGCTCGGGGAAGAGAAAGCGCCGCCGGCGGCGGGGGGTGCTGGGCAAGAGGAGAGGCTGAAAAAAGCATCCAAAAGAGGCGCGGGGAAGCCGTGACGCGAGGGAAAAGTTCCAGGGTGGAGAAGAGGCGCTACGCAACCCGGCTCGTGGCTGTCGAGCAGGCGGGCCACGGCGGGGAGAGCAAAGCTGCTCCCCCGGGCGATCGGGCGCACGGCTTACGGAGCGGACCTGCAGCCCCGCGTCCCATGCACAGGCTGCGACTGTGGCAGCAACAGCAGCATCGACGCCCTTTGCAAAAGCGCACCACTCGCGCGCCAAGATCGCCGCTCCGAGCCGCCGCCGAAGACGAAAGTAATTTCTGGCGGATGCAACCACCGGGCTTTGTACCCATCCTTCTTCTCCCCCGCCCCCCGCCCGCTTCCACCCAAGATCCAACCACGCCTCTGGCCGGGGGGGGGGTAGCCGCAGAGGACTCTGGGTTTCGTAGTTCGCCGCTGTCGGTCAAGGATAATGGGCATAGGTCCTTTCAGATTTCAGGGAATCATTCCTGGACAGCAGCCCGATTCCCTCCCGTGGTGTTCCCCGGGTTGACTCGGGGGAATTTGCCCAACTCCTGTTCCCCGTTTGAGTTCTCAGAAAATGTAATTGGGCTTTCTAAGGTAGTTGCTAGGGTTCTGCTCAAAGGTGAGGGGTAATTATTTTTTACTTAGTACGTTCCTCGCTGCCGCAATGTTGCGTACTTAAACTGGTGTTATTTAACCTTGACAGTTTTAAGATGGGTGGACTTCAAGCTGACTGGGGAATTCTGGGAATTGAAGTTCACCCATCTTAAAATTACTAAGGTTGAAAGGTATACTAAAGTATGTAGTATGCTGGCTGGGGAATTCTGGGAGTCGAAGGCCATTTATCTTAAAGCTCTCAAGATTGGGAAACACTGGCTTGGTCTGATGTGTAAAAACACTTTTATTCAAATGCTTGGGTTTCAGTGCAGTTGAGTCACAGCAATTGGACTTCTTTTCTTTTTGGTTTGAAATGTTTCTGTGCTTATCCATATAGCTCAGTGGTTCTCAACCTGTGGGTCGGGACCCCATTTGGGGTCAAACGACCATTTCACGGGGGTCGCCAAACAACGCTGTCCGCCATTTTTTCCCCCTTTTTCTTAGCTGTGCTACTCCCTTTTATTCTATTGGCTTTTGAAAGCCAATAGAATAGACTCTCTTGAACAGAGTCTAATTCTGTTGGCTTTCAAAAGCCAATAGGAATTGTCCAGGCTGTCTCTGCCCTGCTGAGCCCGCCAAAAGTCCCATTCTGCAAACGGTGCTGCACCAGTTGAGTAGTCCTCAACTTATGACCGGGTTGAGTAGTCCTCGATTTACGACCGGTTGGGGGTCGCGGCATTAAAAAGGTTGAGAACCACTGATATAGCTTCTTCAGTCTGAGCAAGTTAGTTAGGAAAACCCCATATATTTCCTCCAGGGTGGTTTCATTTCTCACCTAATCTGAATAGGCTCATCAGGTGAGTAGGCAGAGAGTCCTCAAGAGTCCTTGCTCCTAAATCCTTTCTCCTAGGTGGATCAGAGAAGCAATACCACAAGACTGTGTTCAGCAGGTCAGCGGTTCAAATCTCACCGGCTCAAGGTTGACTCAGCCTTCCATCCTTCCGGGGTAGGTAAAATGAGGACCCAGATTGTTGGGGGCAATGTAAATATATATATATACATTGCTTACTGGTGTACACTGCTTAGAGAGTGCTTGCACTTAAAGCGGTATATAAGTCTCATAAATAAATATATAAGTCTCATAAATAAGACCAGAATCAGCAGTGTACCTTTATTTAAAAGAAAAGGACACTCTTTTGAGGACAATAATCTTCATATTTTGGACATGAAAGTTAGATGGTTTAAGAGAGGAGTGAAGGAATCCGTTTATCCCAAAGTGAAAAATCCTTCCCCCAATAGAGGTGAGGGCCTCAGACACAACCCTTTTTTATGCTGTTCTTTTATCATTCCCCAGGAAGATTAAGACGACAGGTTCACTAGGGAGGACACACCTAGGATAAAGGATTTAGGAGTGATGACTCTTAATGATTAAGCCTATACAGATTAGGTGGCAAATTAAATCCTGGAGGATTTATATAGGGTGCCCCTAACCAACTTGTTCAGGCTGAAGAAACTACTTGGATAAACAGCAAAATGTTGCAAGCTTGCTTGTTTTCTTGCAGACATTTCATTACCCTAACTAGGTAACATCATCAGTGCTAGTAAAGAGTGCTGTTTGCTGTCAGTTTATATTCTGGTGTCTTGCCTGTCTGGGTGGGTGGGGGCAGTCTTAGGGATTCTTTGGTTGGGCTGTTTACTAATGGCACTATGGCAGTTTCATTGCTTGGGGTATTGTTTACTTGATTGGGGTATTGTTTACTTGATTGTTGGTCTGAAATTGACTTTGGAGTTAATCTATGCTGATCTGAGTGCTGATTTCTGCTGGGAAGGTGCTGGAGTCTTTTTCTGTTTGGGGCTAGTTGATTGTCTTTTTTGCATAATCTATAGATGTTAATGTCTATGTGTCTATTAATGGCTGATTTGTCAGAGTGAAAGAAAAGTTCAATTGCCAAGCCTGAAGTTTAGACAACTCTACTTGGGCACTCAGAATCTCCACTGACATGTGTCAATGAGGTGTACACAAACCCAAAAGATGGATTACTCAGTAAACAGTGCAAGTGTATTAATGATAGGCAACGTGGTACTGTCGTTAAGGAATTGGACTATAAGAGGAGGCTCAGTTGTTTTTCAGAAACAAAAGTGATGTCCCTACAAACTGCTGAGGCCCTGAGAAGTGTAAAATAGAAAAAATAAAAGTGAAGGGGAGGAGAGAATGATTCCCAATATCCACTCTGCATGACCTTGTGGCAGCTGAATCATTTGAATTTGAAGCAGGGGTTCCCTGGTAAATCAGACTGTATGCTCTAAAATAGAACTGATTCAGAAAAAATGGGGGGGGGGGGAATAAACAGGAAAAAAAACCCAGAAAACTTAAGCCAGATTTGGTAATTTCATATCATTCCCCCCCCCCCATCAAACCTCCCAAAGTCACCCTGTGCTGTTTGAGCCTTGCCTACTTCACAATGTAGGGTAAGGAGGGGTGCAAGAAGCGGCCATGACAAGAAAACCCTTCTGAGCAGACACGCGTTTTATAACATTGAAAAGGAGCTCCCGTTTGTGGAACTATGTAAACAGAAAAAAAATAGGAGATAATTGGCTTCTATGCATGCCAGATACCCCCACGTTGAAAGGTAGTGAAACATTTTTCCAATCTACACCTTAAAACGGAAAACGATTTAAACTGTTGGATTTTCGCGCGTGCGGATCTGGGACTCTCTCTCTGAAACTACATTCCCCAACAGCCACCGCGGGAGTGGCTCTTCTCCTTCCCCCTTCGCGAATGTGTAATGTCGCTTTACAAGCAAAGAAATCAAGCGAGCAATTTGCATTCGGGGCGGAGGAGGCGGGAGAAGAGGAGACGGGAAGGAGCGGCTAATTTGACTAAGAAATGTACCTTTTGCAAAGCAAACGTTTGTGTAGAGAAGCCCGCCGGTGGAAACCGCCTCATGAAAGGCTTTGTTTGAAATCATTTCTTTTTAAATAAAATGGATGAAAGATGGGGGGAATTTTTTTGCGGAAATCACGATGCCGAACAACTGCAAGCGAACGCTGGCGTTTGGAGAAGGTCAGAGGAGATTTTGGCGGGGGTCGCGAGGAGAAGCTGCCTTCTGCCCCCTTTTTTATTTGCCTTTTTAACTATACATTAATTTTTATAAAGGCAGGAGAGAAAGGGAGGAGCTACCCAAACCGTATTTTTCTTACAGGGTTTGATACTAAAGAGCCGGAACTATTTATATACTTACTGTGTTATATCACGTGAACTTTAAGAAACACATAGTGAGATGAGGGAGAAAAAACGAAACTATTTTAAGAGAATAGCACCTCTTTTTAATTTTCTTTGAGTTGACACGGTACTCTAACCCACAAGGTAATCGTGACCTAAGTCCACACATCTGGCAGGGAAAAATAGGACAAAGTTGAGCACTAACTAATCTTTAGCATTGCTAACTGATGTGGTTGATTGCGTAAAACCAAGCTGCTGTGTGGCTTAGCTTGCTGTATGAACTCAGTAACAGAACACATTTAGTTTTAGCTTAGCCTGTTCGGCTTGTTCAGCCATTTTTGTAAATTACACCTGAGGGAAGTTAGCCCAGAGAAGGAAATATTAAAAGGGCAGAAAAATATATTTTTTCTTCAAAAGGATTTTTTAAAAACCAAACCTGGCCCCAAATCTATCTCTCTGCCCCAAGCAAGAGCTAGCCCCATACAAATGCAGATGTAAAACCATCAGAAAGTTGAAGCCAGAGCAATCAAGAAGACAAAAATCTACATGCCCCACCCAAAATCTAGGAGTCATTAGCCCCATTACCTAGGAAGCAGAATATGATAATAGGATTAAACCACAGATATCAAGGCCTAGAAAAACACTCAGAAATAGCCTCAAGGTTTATGCCACAGAAACAGGACACTATTCCAAACAAGGCTAGAAGGGGTATAAGAACCTACTGCTCATATGCTCAACTCCTCTTTCCTCTCCTCTGCTCTTTCTTGCAAGGACCATCTTTCTGCTTCTTCAATAAACTGTAACCTTCTTCCCAAAGCAGTCGCCATGTTGCTTATTTATCCCCGGCTTGGATGAACCAGGATGAAGACTTACTTCTGACTCACCTTTTCACTCAGTCATTTGTGTGAACTCATTTTTGCTTAATTAAAACCTATGATTAAGAAACCATGGCTTAGTGTGATAGTTGGCTTGCTGCCTGGAACCATTTGCAATAGTTGTGGGGGACACTTTTCAAACTTATTTCTTTTCTCTAGCTTGAAGAAAGGTTGCAGCCATCAGATGTTTATGAACCAAACTTACAGCACAACTAACTAACCAACTAACTTAATATGGAGGCTTTGGTTAGTTAGTGCCTTGGATAACTCATTAAAAAAATCTAATTTGCAAGCAAGAAGACTAGATTGAAGGCCTGGGATGATTCTGCTATTATGCATGTTATGAAATGACTGTTATGGGATCTGGAATATGGATGAAACCTAAGTAAACATCAGGCACAGCTTCAAATTGTAGAAAGACAGCACACACCCCCTCCCCCCAGAGAAAGAAATATTATTTGGGAGAATATTTAAAAAGGCAAAATACTATATTTCCCCAAAGGAATAATGGAGAAGATCTTAAAAAGCAACCCCCACACACAGATCTCTCTACCCCAAGCAGAAACCAGGTCTGTAGAAATGCAGATCTGATAATCCTTTCAGAAAGACTGGAGCCAGGAAGCTTAGAGCTGATGGAATTAGAA